AATACCCCATGCACACAGTAGGCACTCTGTTAATAGTAGCCTGGCACGAAGAAGACACTCAGTAAATGTTTGTTGAATAAATGAAGTAGTGATTTGTTGTGATCTTGGTCTATTTTGTTTTCTATCTTTTCCATTGCCTTCTCTTCTAGTCTCATCTTCACTGGGGTCAACACACTCTCAAAAGAAGGGAAGGTCTGTAAAGGGTACTCGACCTTCTAGGACAGTAAGCTGCTTTTACTTCCCTGGGGTGGTCTGGGTGAGTTAAAAGCAGCAAGAAGTGACTCTCCTCTTACAGGAAATGTTCTTTGCCCTCATCCACCCACTGGATCACAGGGATGTCCTAAACATTTCCCCCTAACGTTGACACTGGCTTTTGCAGTTCAGGCATTTCCTCTTTTCTTCTGTTTACATCAGCAGCAATCTCACAAATTTACTCCCCAGAAATAGACTCCTTTGTGGAGTTGGCTTCAGGCCTCCCGAAGTTTTACCACCCGAAGGAGTAGCATGCCTGTGTTTTCATATAATCAAGGGATGGGTAACTGGGGATCTCTGGAACTAGGGGATCCCCAGCTATCTAACAAGGTCCAAATTTGGAAGGTTTGATCACCAATCAGTTCCAGCCCCAAACTCTAGCCTCAGGGACAGGAATAAAAGGAAAAGATGGCACTGGCCCCAGAAAAGAATAAAGGAAATGCCAAAAATCCCAATATGGCCATATCTTCTTAATTGGGGGTTAAGTCCCGGGCGGGGAGTTCAAGGGAATAGGAGAAACGAAAGGCATTGCTTCACTTCTGCCTCTTGAGTCATTTATCAGTGTCCACAGACCTACAAGCATCTTGTCCTGATCGAGGGCTATCAGGGCTTATGCAGGAGAGCAGACACAAGGTGACCACAGCCCCGCAGGAGGTTGGGGGAGAATGTGAGGCTGGGGAAAGCAGTGAGAGAAGCTGCAGAAAGCACAGTCCGAGGCTGCTTTCTCTCAACGAGTCTGCCAGTCTACGTCACGGCCTCTCATTAAGCATCCACTTGACGCCAGCGAAGTGAAATAGCACAGACCTGGCACCAGAAAGAACAAATGTGGCACCCACTGCTCCTTTTAAGGACTGGCTCGAGGAGCAGCAGGCCCCAAGGCAGGAGGTCAGGCAAACACATCAGTATCTTTGTGGGACGGGGAGAGAGGACTCTTTTAGGCCTGCCTCCTTCTTAACAAGCTTTCCAGGGCAAGTTCTCCTGCAACCTTCAAAAAGAACCAACAATGAAGGCCTTTTCCCTTTTAAAACTCTAGGGACACAGTGCTTCCTCTTCCCCCAGCAGGGCAGCTGGCTTCAACCAAGAAGGAGGGTCAAAAGTCACCTTTGATAACCATCTGTCCAAACAGTAATACCCTAACCCCAACTTACTGAATCAGAGGGAAAGACTGGACCAGTGCTTCTCACATGTTAGTGTGCATTCGAATCACCTGGAAGCCTAGTTAACGCCCTGCCCAGCTCCATCTCCTGACTTCCTCATTCAGTCATTGTGGGATGGGATCTAAGCCATGGCAGTTCTTATAAGTTCCCAGGTGATGCTGATGTTGATGGTCTGGGCTCTGGTGTATAATGTCTACTCCTTGCTCCTTCACATTTCTTTCTATATAGGCTTTTTGCCCAAAGGGACAGACACTCCCTTGAAAATATATTAATTACCTCATGTGAATATACTGTACTTTTATTCCCAAGATCTCCAAGCCCTGTCACATCTATTAGCTCCATCTGCCCTCATGAATTCCCATTTGGTGAGAAGGAAAGAGAGGGGTGAAGGGTGATAACTAATGCAATATGGAGTCTGTAGGTTGTGTCTATTCCAGTTCAGGGGTCCCTACCCATAGCCCGCTGCAGGGTCAGCCCGGGTCCTGGTGATACTGTGAGCTGCCTACAGCTCAGAGACTGGCTGTGACTCAACACTGTCCAGACACCCAGACTACTAGCAGGGAGCTTAAGGGGACAGGTGGCCTCCAGGACGAAGTGAGAGACCTCAACTCATCCTCTGAACACTGAGCTGGCAGAGAGGGAAGGCTAAAAGGAAACAATCACTTTTTTGAACAAGTTAGTTTGGGGACTTCTGAGGCTCACTTGGCACACTGTAGGCAATAAAGAGTTCTTGAAATAATGGTAGCAGTTTACGGAAAATGTTCTAAGGAAAGTTAGAATCTTATTGCTGGGACTTCCCTGGTGGTCCAATGACTAAAACTCCATATTCCCAATGCAGGGGGCCCAGGTTTGATCCCTGGTCAAGGAACTAGGTCCCACATGCCACAGTTAAAGATCCCTTATGCCGCAACGAAGACCAAAGATCCAGCAAGCTGCAGCTAAAGACCCAGTGAAGCCAAATCAATATTTTTTAAAAAAAAGAATCTCGTCACTGATTAACGGATAGGCTATCGCAAAAACAGATTACTGAAGTTAAGAAAACAGAGAAGTAACAAGAGTAGATTCCTGTTGGAATGACTATACATTCCTTGTGGGCAAACACTGTACAGTAAATTTCTGGTCTCATGGTAGTTTAACAACTGTTTACAGAATGGCATTGGGCACAGGGAAGCTGGTTTGGCTCTGATGGTTCACGAGCGCAGTGTGCTGCTGGGAGCCGTGGCTGTTTCTGCTCTCAGGATAGAAGGCCTGGTAAAGTCTGGGTGTGTGGTTGAAAAAAAAGAATTTTGTCTTTTAAAATTAGCTACTGGAGGGAACAAAGAGCATAACACGGGGTTTCTGGCAGTAGAAACCCACAGGCTATGTCCTGTGGGACATAATGTGACCAAAAACTTGTCTGTAGAGCAGATATTTTTATAACTCACGATTAGGCCACAGAGCCAGGACAAAGGAGACAATGAAGGGGTTACATAGTTCATGCTGCTCTGTTAACAGCACCACATGGAACACAACTGTGGACTTCTGGCACCTGGCAAGAACAGGCAGCCAAGCCCAAGCCCCTCAACTTGGCAGTGAAGAAACTTTGACCAGAGTGGCCAGTGAGGCTGTCATCTAGCAATTCATCCTCTGAACCAAGGTTATCGACTGTGGATATAGGTACACAAGTGGATCATGATGGGGACACCACAATGACACCAGGGCCAGTTCTATCCAACACAGATCAAGCAGATGATTGACAAACCTGAGTGCCTGTTCCTGTGTGCCAGGCCCTGAGCTTACTGCTGGTCTTTGAAACAAGACCTCTGTGGTCCCTCCCTCCGCCGAGGGAGACCAATGAAGAATACGGTGGTGGCCCTTCTGTAACTGCACTGCAATTCCAGAAATCCCTCCATTCTCTGCAGACATGAAGGGGAGGACAGTTACTACCTCTTTTAAATAGCTGTGGTAGCCCTAAAGCTTGGGACCTGAACTTTCAGTTCCCCTTAAAGAAACATGTAGAAACAAGTTGATGCTCTCCACTCAGCATTTCAAAACAGGATATAAATACTCAATGCAAGAACACACTATCTTAGGACTCCCTAGTGAAAAGCAAAAAACAAGGTAGACAGAAAAAATTCCAAAGCTGTGGTCTCATATGTGTGGAAATCTAGAGCTGTTAGCAATAAAAATGTTCCTTATGCTGGAAACTTCAGAGAAACCCTTCCTCAGCACAATGGGGGACAGAAATGATACCCACACAAGCCCAGTCTAAATGGCTTAGCAAACTCCTCACCCCTCATCCTCCAAAATACTTTCATAAGAGGTGGTTATTTCATCAAATTCAGGCTGTCAGGAAATAAATCATACAGTCACTTGTAATATAAGCAATACCTAGAAATGGTCCAGGTAGTCCTGGTGCAAAGCAGTTAAAAGGAAAGCAATCTTGCCCAGACTTCTTCCTGGCTCAAAACCTGATGGGCAATTTTGCAGCTAATTTCTAACCCTTGAAAATAAAACGATTCTGACCGCTGCTCCCTGCCTCCAGGCCCTGTTCTGGTGGAACAGTGCCCTTCACTTCGGTCAGCAGGTTCCTGCTGCACACACTGCTATATGTGCCCAATGTGTGAAGCCGTGTGCAACTGCAGAAGCCACATGTTCCTGTCTACAGAAAGGAGGGGCTGGCTAGAACCTTGGAAACACTTTTCACTCCCCTTCTGCTCTGCCTTACCAAGCCCTCTCACAGAAAGCCATTGTGTAGGTTCAAGAAGGAAAGAAAAGAAGGGCGGACTTTTCCTGGCTCCCCTGCGGACTACAAGGTGATATAAAAGCACAGCAGTCACCCCCAACAGCTCTGGAGAAGTGCAGGCCTCAGGGGGCTGCACCAACACTGGCTTCTCACTCTGGTTCTCGCAGGGCAGCATTGTCTAATAATGAGCTGAGCTCAATTGCTTGCTGTGTATTTTACAGCACAACTAATCCCTCATATTTGTGCTTTTCACCCACATGTCTTTTATTGTTTGCTCTGGGGAAGAAAAAGCCTCACCTTTGAAGCAACCCACACCTTCTCTGCCCTGTGGCTCTCGCTGCCTCCTCCTTCTCCCTTGTAGACAAAGCTCTGACCAACCGCTGCAGACGCATCCATTTGTCTCCCCCAGTATTAGCGCTTCTTGAGCTTTCTAGGGGCCAATGGTCTAAAGGTAAGAACAGTGATTCTATCAGGCAGCTGATCCTCTAGGTCTCAGCCAGCTCAGTGTTTATAATAATTCTTAAACGCATGCTTACTGGTCCTTTAGCTTCCTCAGTTAGGCATCTGCTCAGAGTCCTTTAAAAGAAGAACTTTTTTCCAACCATTTTGAGGTTAGCCAAAGGTAGCTGAACTAGCTATCACTGTTCTTCTAACCCCGTGATTGTTTCTGGACTAAGATGGATTCCTGCCACCCTTCACTGATCCATTTGGTCAAACTACCAGGCACAGAGAACATCGCAGCAACTGCTTTTCCTCCTGCACTCATTCATCATCATCCATCCACCACACCTTAGACCACTGCCTCTTCCAACCTCTAATTTCTTCCCTAAGAAGTATGAAAAGAGAAACGATCAACTTACACAGGCTGACGTAGAGTTCTTAGAATGTATTTTTGTTCACCTGAAAAATAAAACTTTTAAAAAATATACAGGACTTTTTGAGTACAGGTATATCTTAAATGGCTGAATTATAAATAATGTCTCTGGTCACGCTCACAACTGGGGCTGGAGCTGATGTCCCAATTCCAGTGAAGGCATTAGAGTCAGGAGGCCAACAGCTGAACCCACGAGTGGTCTCTCTAGACGCCGATCCATCCCAGAGTGGATTCAACAGTCCAGAATGCAGGGGTCAGAATGGGGACAGGGGACTGGACTCCCAGATGTTCTCCTGCCAGTTCAAAGGATTCTTGGAATAAGAGATCGATTTACAAATTATTAAAATATAGGACTAAAAATTCACACAATAAATATAAATTACAGGCTATTATTGAAGTTATAAAGTGGCATTTTATGTTTCTTCCCCCAGGCCCTCACCAAAAATTTTAAAAGGTCTCAAAGGCTTCCTAATGACTGAAGTCAAGTGCTCGGAAATCTCCTTCAGCCAAGACACCTTGGGGGTGCTACCAGCCTGCCCCTAGGCAATGACAGCTCAGCTGCTTTTATCTTGCCCACAGCAGGACAGGGCTGAAATCGAGGCTGTGGTCCTGTAAACCTGGATCAGAGCTAACAGGAGTATAGGCCAGAAAACTGGAGAGACAAATTGTTTCAGGACTCAGGTGGATAAGTTGTTGTTGTCGTTGTTTTAAAGTGCCTCATTTCCCAAAAAGGAAACACGAAGGGGTTTGATATCTTGTCACTACCCACACTCAATTGCCTAAAAGCAAGTGGTGGAAGGAAATGGAATCCAAATTGAGGATGTAGAATTCTTGTGGCCCCAGAGCTAGCTTTACATCTGTCATTTCACTTGGTGCTTCTCATCTCAATGAAAGTATAGGCTGCATGTAAGTAGGGCTTATCAGGAGAGGTAAAGGCTAGCCAGTTTATCCTTCCCATGGGTGGTCTATTATCTGGCTATCAAAACACAATCCTGAGTTTGAAGCCCATCTTTCAGCCTTTTGGATTCTTCAAAACCAGAGGATGTGCTCAAAGCTCTGGGTTTACAACAGATTTTGTTCACAGGGCTACACTGTCACTACAGGCTGAGGGCAAGACAGAAGGTGAAGGTGATTACAGAATAAGACCTGACCTTGAAGAGCAGGAAAAAAAAAAAAGATAAAACACTTGTGAGCCATTCTACTTACAAAAGCTTGCTCTTCCTAACCTCTGTGAGGCCAAGGGTTGAAGCACAGAGATATTGCTCTTTCCCTTCCTTTCTTCCCTGGCGGGTATCCAGATACTTAGGGCTGCAACAGAAAGCCTCTTAGGTGGGGGCACTAGGGTGGGAAGAGGAGGGGACCGGTACATTCCCCGCCCTCCCCAAACTGCTTCTACTTCTCCAAAGGTTTTCCATCGTCCTTTCAACAGGTTTGAGAACAATTACACTCTTTTGTGTCATAAACCTATCTTTCTGAAATAGGAGGGGGAAAAGGTAAAAAAATGGGTAATGTAAAAAGTGTTTGTGCCCTTCTGGCTAGCTGCACTTTGGGGGCCAGCAAATAGCCCTTGCTTAACCCCATCAGTCAGTAGCTACCCAGGGTGTGGGAGGATACATGTAGTTCTATGTAATTATAGCTTCTAGTGCATATGTCAACAACTATATACAGGGATCTATAAATTAAATGCATCTGTGGCCACTGCAACTAGGTTGACGTACCTGAGCTCCACTACTTTCGGTGCCCTCCTCCTTGCAAGAGCTTCGGCTTATTAAAGAAGAGCCCCTACAGCTCCCTCTTTTCTTTAAGTCTTGGGGGAAAGCCCGAGTCACCCCTCCACGTAAAATACATAAGAACTAGCGGCGCAGAAGGGTTCAGTGCTGGGATCTCCCCACCCCTCCCCCACCCCCCTTATGGCTCAGGGCCCTGGCGCAGCACCGTCCGTAGGAAGACCAAACCCGGAGCCCCCGGGGAATAGTGGTCCCTTGGCTGAAGATGAACTGCAGGCCCCTCACCCCTGGGGCTAGCCGGCGATCATCGGGGGAAGAGCGGCGTTCACTCCCGTGGGGGTCACTTCCGCGGGCTCCTCGCCCGGTCCTGCTGCAAAGTCCTGCCTCCGGGCTTGGGGAGGATGGTTTCCGGCCGCCCCTGCCACCGAGGGGTTCAACGACTCCCCGGCGCCGCCGCCGCTTCCTCCTCGTCCTCCTCGGCCCCCCGCGGCTGCTCCAGCGGCCCGGCCTGGGGGCTGTCGGCAGAGGGTTCCGGAGACACGGGCCGCGCCGCCTGCAGCGGGGGCGCGTCGCGCGGCGCCTCGCGGCGGGACAATCCCGTGTTGTTGGGCCCCGCCGCCGCCCCCGAAGTCCCGGACGGGCCGGTGGCGTTGGAGCCGCCGGGGGGCGGGCCGGCGGCTCCCCCCGAAGTCCCGGCGCCCACCGGCTGCCAGATGAGGCTGTAGTAGACGGCGAGCACGATGGCGGCCAGCGACACGGAGAGCACGTAGGCGAACACGGTGGCGAGCCGGACCCACTTCTTGTTGGTCTTGGCCGCCATCTTCGCCTTCTTGTCCCCGGTGTAGGTGGCCGGCTTGCCCCGCTCGGCCGGGGCCGCGTCGCGCTCCTTCATGGGGGGGCCCCGGCCTTTGCCCCGGTGCTCCACGGCCCCGGTTGGAGGGGGCCTGGCGGCCTGCGAGGACTGGGCAAGGGGCGGCCCGGCGCCCTCGGTTCCCCGCCGCTCGGCTCTCCGCAGCCGCTCCTCACGCCGCCAGCCCGCAGCCCGCCACCGCGTAGCTGCAGCCGCCGCCGGGGCCTGGACCAGTCACCGCCGCCAGCGCCGCCGCCGCCGCCGGCCCGTCAGTTGCTTCCTCGCTGCCGCCACAGCCACAGCCGCCACAGTCGCCCGACTCCAAGTCCCCATCCGCCGCCGCCGCCGCCTGCCCGGCCGCCGGCCGCCCGGTCTCTAGTGGCCGCGCGGACAGCGCTCTCCGCTCCAGCCGGGCTCCCCCGCCTCGCGCGCCGGCAACAAGGGGCGGGGGAAAGCGCTGCTGGGGGCTGCCTCTTAAAAGGGCAACGGCGGGGGTCCGGAAGTGCCGCGCGGGGAGGAGGCTGGCTGCTGGCGAGCGCCGGGAGTCCCCCGCCGGGACGCCCCGTTAAGAGAGGGTTAACAGAGGCTGTCTCTTAAAAGGGCAACGTCGCCGCAGCCCCGCACGGGCTGACGCCGCGAGGGTGGGAGCCTCCGGCGCTTCTTTAAAAGGGGAACAGCGTCTTTTGGGGCGGAGTGGTGAGCTGAAGCCGGGCGGGGAGGGGCGGTCGGAGCGCGGAGCTGTCAACTCTGGCGCCTCCCCTCTGTGTTCAGACTGCCCGAAGTGACAGGTTATGTAGCAGCAGCGACTTCGGCTCCCAGGCCTCAGTTTACCTCCAGAGGTGGGGGTGATTTCACGTTGGTGCTCTCGACTCGCGCCCGGCCCCACGTACCCTCGGGGCGGGTCTTTCAGACCCCTTTACTCCTAGCGAGCCTGGCCCACGTCTGGCGTAGGCAACCCAGGAACGTGGAAAATGCACTGAGGTTGCAGCCGGTCGGGTCGCTTCCTTTCCTAGCCCTCACTCCCACCCGCAGCCGCATCCCGCCTGGGCTTCAGGCGCTCTCCCGATTCTCTGTCCTCTTAGATTCCCGAGTTGGTTGCCCAGACCTTCCGGAGCTTTCGGGAGAGTACAGTGCTGAGCTGGTTCTCCAGACTCTCCTCCCACCTTAGTCCTGAAGTTTGCAACAGGTCCCAGATCCCGCTTTAGGGGCATTCTGGCTCTCGGGTTTAGGCTTGATCCATGGACTCGAGAGGCTCCACTGAACTGGTGGAGCGGCTTACAGGGCTTTCCCCTTCTCTGACCCAATTCAGGTCTCACAGCCTGAGCGGTGTTCCCTTGACACCCTTCCCATATGGGGCTTGTCATCCGTCCTTTAGGTGCTGAGGACCCCTCTCCAAGCTCGGACTCTCAGTAGCCACTTCTCTCTTTTGCCTTCTCTCCGCCCCCGCCCGCATTCCCTGTCTGTGAGATTTTCTAAAATTTCTGGTTCTCTCCTCTTGAGTTCTACTTCCTTTGTTCCCAGAGCTGGGTCTATGGACCGCCTGGGTATCTCAATGGGTGTGGGGGAACTGCCTTGGAGTGGTGGGGGTGGGGTGGGGTGAAGACAGTCCTCATGCGGTTCTGTGGGTGAATCTTTCCTCCTGGCTCCTGGCTTCAGATTCTGTGGAGCTGAACCATCTTTATCTTTTCCATTTCTCCAGCTTCTTAGTTTCAAGACGCCATGCCCCCTTATGAAGAAGTCCCACCCCAACGCTGCTGCCCTGCGTCTTCAGCAGCCCAGAAGTCAAGTGGCTGCCAGAGTTGAGTGTGCTGATGAGCGCCTGGAACCGCAGCACCATAGCCAGGTGATTCCTGAAGCTCAGGTGTGAGTCTGCCACTAGCAATGGCCAGCCCGATTCTTATTTCCAAGAACAGCATGCCCTTTTACTTTTCTGAGAAATTTTAAGGACACTGAACGTGTGGAGTGCGTATTGCCTTCTGCAGGCTGATAGGGAAAAGACAACCACTCCTTCCCCATTCTGTTCCCACGGTGGCCAGAGCCCATCATGCAGGGTGACCTGTTAAGTCAGAACCCCTGGATTGTTTCTGGATGTTGAACTCTCTTCTCTCCCTTACTCTCTGACCTTCCTGGTGGGACTGTTCCTACCAGCTATACCAAGGTGAATTATTAGTAAAGGTTCCAAGTGAGTCCATCCAACCCAAAGCCTCCTTCCAACTGCTTCCTTGAATGCACTCAATTTCTTCTGTTGCAAATTAAACTTCTTTCTTCTTGCTTGGCTATCAGGAAAACAGCCTGTCACTTTTTTCCATACCGAAGAATAAATATACTTGCAGCCCCTATTCAAATCCTCTCACCCTATGCTTCTCCAAACTAAACAGTGCCAGCTTCTTTAACCTGTCATCAATAAGCTCTATTTATTATCTGGATTTACACAGTGTCTTTTACCCTAGGAACTCAAAATGCTTTCAGATATAATTGAGCCTGATCTCCGTGGTGCCTGAGCCATTAAGAAACCATTAGTGTATTGCTATTGCAGGCAACTAAATGGCCCCCTAGTGGCCTGAAAGTGAATATGCTTCTTTAAGAGCCTCTCTTGGACTAAAGGTGGGCAGAGTCAGAGTAGAGAATCAAAGCAGCGTGGGGACAGAATAGGCCCCAAAGGTCCTCTTTTGTAAATACCGTAGAACCTTGCCCACAGCATCCTATGGAGCACCCTCCAGCATCAGCTAAAGACCCTCCATGTTGGTGTACCTTATTGTCTGCTCCCTAAGGCAGCCCTTTGAGGGTTTGGAAAGTTCTGACCAATTGTAGCAGCACCGACATCCACATCTTTATTATATGCTCGGCATTATGCCAGGGCTTCCCAGGTGGCTCAGTGGTAAAGAACCCACCTGCCAATGTAAGAGCCGCAGGAGACTCAGGTTCAATCCCTGGGTCAGGGAGATTCCCTGGAAGGGGAAATGGCAACCCACTCCAGTATTCTTGCCTGGAAAATCCCCTGGACAGAGGAGTCTGGTGGGCTACAGTCCATGGGGTCGAAAAGAGTTCGACACAACTGACATGCATGCAGCCAGCACTATGCTAAGCACTTACATTCCTTGTCTCATTTGTCTCACAATAATCTATCAGGTAGTTATTATTTATCTTCATTTTAGAGATGAATAAATTGCCTCCAAAAAAGTTCAACAACTTACCCAAAGTCTCATAACTAGAGAGAATTCAAACCTGAGTCTTTCTGACTCTAGGGCCTTAGATCCTGATCTCTGCTCTCCTCTGCCTCATAGGTAGAGCTGAAAGTTGTCTCTGTCATGGATGTTGGGAGTACTGCCCACATCACCCTCAGGATCAAGGCACTCATTCCTCCAGCTGCTAGGGATGTTGACTTCTGATGGCTCACAGTTGCCACTGTCTCTGGGCATTGCCCGTAGGCACCGAAGGAAGCTGCATCTTTCTCTTGGCTCACAAGACCAATAAACGGGGCCAAGTTGCAACAAACCTGGGAAGAGCGGGAGGAGGACTCCATCTCCAAGATGCTGCAGAAGTAGCTGGTATGTATGATAGGAGCCAGGAGAGAATGTACAGGCTGAATCAAGGGGAGCTGAATACTATTAATAAGTTGAATGATGGGGAGTTTATTGATTTAGGAGCACTCTCCTGTGAAATAGGATTTCATATCCTGACAAGGATCCTGGGAGACAGGCTACCAACTGAAATGGAAACGCCAGAAGTATAATGGCAGAAGGTGGAAAGAGGATTCAAGAAACCCAGAGAAGTGGTCATGCTCTAGTGGATATTCTGTGTAAGGCCAGAAACCCACTTCAGTTCTGCAGGAGGGCCCAGAGGATACTCTTGTTATCAGAACAAAGAGTAGTGCACTTACTGAGAAGCTGAGTTTTGGCTGTCCTCTGCAGGTCAGGGCTGACAGCAAGAGACCAAAACAGAACTGGCTCCCTAATAACAGTGGGGATGGCAGGACCACAAAATGATGGAAACTGGAGATTGGCACACCACTGTAAGGAGCAGCAAGTTGGACTGGCAGTTGGGGGGGGGGGGTGTCCTGATGGTAGAGTCATGCAGATGATTAATAGGATGTAACGTTACTGGGGCAAATTAGTGCAAAGAATTCCCTTTTCATATTTCTGCAAGTCTCTTAAATATGGTTTTATAGACAACAGCTGGATTCTCATATCTGCTGTGGTTGGCTTTATGTTATTTTGGTTAACATGTGAAGAAAATCTGGCCTCACAAACATATGTAGTTGGAAAAGAGCATTTTAATGCTCTTTTCAGCTAATTGTGGGTATTTTTTTTTGATACTACACCAAAACTCAACAAGTTTTATTTTCTTAAATGGTAGTTATAATGTAGAATATGAAACTCTTTCAATGAACTTTTGTACTCAATCACATT